TGCATTTTCTAGAATTTGAAAGTAAACCTTTACATTTAAAAAAAAGAAATACTCAAAAATTATATCTTGAAACTGCTGAGAATGTGGTAGGCAGTTAGATAGACATGAGCAGAGCAAGGACAATGGGCCAGGTACAGAAGGTCACCAGGGCAGAAAACCCTGGGTGCCTAGCAAAGGACAATTGTAGGGTGGGACCTTGCCCCACAGAGGCCTTTCCTCCCCTAGCAAATCTCCGGTCATGTGTTTTGTACCCCCTGACCTTTCCTTCCTAGAGATAACATCTCGGCCTCAGTTGTATTTCAGCTCCAGGCCCAGAAAAGCAACAAAACCAGCCACAGCTGACCTCAGGACCAGCTGCATTGGATAATGACCCCCACTTTGGCGCCGACCAATCAATCAGTGGAGACCTAGAACCTGAAAGGTTACCCCTCAGAAACTGCTAACTATTTTATTGAGGTCTTCCCTGGGACCGCCCCTAAAATCTCAGACCCAGAGCACTTTCCTCCTGGGAGCATAAGAGTGCCTTTCTCTTCCCCCGGGTGAGTTATACCATTAGCTTCCTCATGCCCAAGCACCAAGAGCCCATTTTTTTTCTATGAATTATTTCTTCTGTCTCTTTGATTTACCAAATAAATATTCTCTTACGGTTTGGGTGTTGGCTCTGAATTCTTTCCTAACCAGAGTTCAAGTACCGAGGTTGCTGAAGCCAGGTCCAGTCCGACCCCACCAGTCTAACACCCGGTGCTGTTCCCACCGCCTACAAGACCACTCTTAATTTTTTTTCAGGTGTTTGAAATAACTTTTGTTTTTTAAAAAGTTAACATATGCATAATGGGAACCAAAAACACAAAGCCATCCATAAACATAAGCAGTTCACAATCTGACACGTCCTTCTAGGTCCCGTGTGTCCCTACACAACTAAGCATCCATTTTTATGTAATAAGTTTGTATAGTTCTGTATCATGCTTTTCCACACATCATGAATATTTACCATTTTAAAGTCCCAAAGCTATATGTGTTTTGATAACCAAGAATCATTACACCAACTCAATCTGGAAGAGAAAATATATAATTCTGCCTTTGTTGGTGACAAAAATTTTATAAAAGACAAAAATGGCAATAGGCCTCTAGATAAAGATATCGGCAGAGTTACAATGAAAATATTGCATTCCCTGAGTGTCCCATTAAGACTGAGACATAAAGCAACACAGCACAGAAAGTATAATGGTTCTAAGAGAATTCATTCTCTGATCTATACTTTTAAAATATTAGCAAGGAAGCAAGTTTCCGTTGAATCTAACCTGGTGTCCTGTAGCACAGCCCGGGGAGATGCAGGCACGCGGATGGCAACCATGGAGATGGGAACGCAGCGCAGGTTTCCCGGCTCTGCACTCCCTGTGCCCCTGCTGCCCCGGGGAGGCCTGATGTCCCCTCTGCCATGGCAGGGGCTCCTCTCTGAAATCAACTTCTTTTGTGTGTTTTCTTCGTATCTAGGTTTTTATACCTTCTTAATTCAATTCTATTTCTTAGAAATAAAATTTCCCCTTCTGCTGCCCATATATTTCCTTTTGTATGAAAAAGGAAGTTGTGTGAAAGAGGAAAGGACCTTTTTTTTAGCTTGTGCTGTTATTTCACAAGACTTCTATTGTTATGTGGCAAGTCCAGGACACAGACCCGGGGCAGTGAGGCCTTCACAGGGGGAAGCACAGGCAGTGAAGTGTCTCCGCAGAGGATCCCAGAACAGACACAGGGATTTTTGTGCAGAGATGGGCAAAAAATAAAATAAAAATGGACCCCCCCCCTCCACCTCTCTCTTGTTTTTGCAATTGGGAGAGAGCTTAATTTTTCAATGTGTATGAAAAATATGAGCTGTTTATTGGTCTGGAGTGATGCTCCCAAGTTTGTTTTAGCCGCAGCTTTTCCTACTGTGTGACACGACTTCACAGACTCAAGGGCCCGTCAATGCCGCTCTCTTCCTGGGTGCCCGCTCCTGTGCTGGTCCTAGGGACAAACCTCAGACTGAAAGCAGTCACCAATCTTCAGGCCCTTAGATCTGTTGTCATTGTGCCTCAGGGGCAGGGTAGGAGTGACATGACTAGTTCTCAATTTTAATTTAATCTAGGTCTGATCGACAGCGTACAGCATATTGATTTGATCAATACACTGTAATAGGACGGCCATTGTTGCACTCTGAGTCCCATGATTATACTTTCTTCTAATGCCGGGAACAGCACCGGTGTGGAGGACCTTTCTCTTTCCCCAGCCCACCCCTCATCTGTCCTTCGCTTCCCAGCAGCCTCTTTCCCCTCGCCAACCCTACTCCATTCTTCATGCTCCTTTTTATTCAGTCATGGTCTCTCAGAACTAAACGGCATTGAACACCACCTAGTACAGTGTTTCTTAAAATGCTTTTTGATCCTCTGAAGTCTAAACCATTTCCCACAGAAAACCGTGCTGAGGCTGATGAAGTGCACCTGCTCTGAAAAGAGGGAAACGCCCCGCTCTGCCCCTGAGCGCCAGGTGAGCAGCCCCAACCCCTGGCCATCAGGAGTCCCCGAAAGTCCCTTGGCAAAATCTTAGGAAGTCGCAGCCTAAGCCAACCCCTCATTTGGCAGGTGAGGAAGCTGAGACCCAGGGAGGGGCCGAGAACACAGTAAAGTCACAGTCAACACCTAGCGGCCCGGATTCCCAGTTCTGGAGCCCTCTCATGCTATTTCCTTTCTTTCCTTACCACAGGGGTTCAAATCTTCTGGCTAGGAGGGGTCCCTGGGGAGTCCAGGGGCCAAAGTCATCCCCAGTGGTTCAAAAGCTGCTGTCTTTTGCCAAAGCACCACCCCAACCCTGAGGACTGGGGGCATCCTGTAGATGTCACAGCCTGTTCCTGATGCAGTCACTTGGATTTTTCTCAAGGGCAGAGGAGAAGGGAAAGACAGGTGAGATAGTGAGCGCAGCTAACTGGGCCCACCTTGGGCATCGCTGAGCCCATTTCAGAAGGGCTAACCCAACAAGAAGGCGGCTGGGGCCAGTGTGTGTGTGTGTGTGGGGGGGGGGGGGGGGAAAA